AACAGACACTTACCAAATTAATTAGTACGCAAACTGTAATGAACTTTCACAGCGAAAATTAATTTCTAATTAGGTGGGTGGAGTTTTAAGTACTGCATGGAAACGTAACCGTAAATGATGTTACAATTTGGAGCACCCGATGCAACAGATGCATCGTGTACAAGAAAACCGTTCCTTATATTCGTCTTCCTCTCATTGAAAATACAATAGTTCTGTTTTTTTTCTTTCTTGCCATTCGACGTGAGTCACTTCTTTGCATATGGCGGTATTTTACTTATCGCGTTGCTACCCTGTGGCTTGATAAAGATTTTATGATTAGTATCATTTTATCACAAACTGTGGGAAAATATATATGCAAGGCCTTGTCTCGTCCCGCCGTTTCAAAAACGCGCTTGTACTTAATTGTTAAATTGAATTATATATCAAACATTCTACTTACGAGTAACAAAACAATTTTTTATTTCCCTATACCATTAGGCAGTAATTTATAGACATCTATGGGACTGTAGATATTACAAACACATGAATTGGACAATTTTCCTTGTACATAAACGAAGAATATTTACTAAAGCTGCTATGTACAATTTGATTTACTTTAAGGAACTAGTTAATCAGGAAGATGGATGACAATCCAAATTTGTGACATTTTAACGACAGACGTTGAACGTGCCTGGGCGTTCGGAGTAAGACTTTTTTGATGTTCACATCAGGAGTAAAAACCGCGATCCAGCTCTACTGATGGTAAGAGCACTAACGGCATAAAAACCGGATGAGAACGAAGAGAGGTGACGAGCGAAAGCCAAGAAAGAGAGGATACGATCCGCAGAGTTATTCAAAAATAGAGGGCGCGGCGTGAGTTAATACATGACCTTGATTCGTGGTGCCATCTATCGAACAAATGAGGGAGAAGCTTTACAATATCATTGAAAAGGCAATTAATAAGTTGATAATTATCTGGAAAATCCTATATATATAGATTTATATATATATATATATATATATATATATATATATATATATATATAATATATATATATATAATGCTCAGCCTGTATATATAAGAATTGTTCTTTTTGTCCACAAATTTAATTTTAAATGCCATGAAAAATATGTAAATTACAATGCTTTCTTGGGATATTTTCGCGAAACAAAATTTTTTTTATTTATTTCGCGAATTAAATTATATGTTAGAAGCGATGAATTGATGTGCATGATGCTTGTTTCTGTTATATTCCGATTGAAACACATAACATATTATTCATTCCGTAAAACGTAATTTCAAAATTTTATGTGATTTTTACTGGTGACTAGATACAAATGGAATTATATAATTTAAACATTTAATAACATTCTTTTAAATATATAACATTCATTCTGTGCAACAATGCGCTTTAAAAGTTCATATTTTTCACTTTAGTTTTCAGAATAGAAAGACATGATAACTGGATACTATTAGAATTTGATTATGAAAAGTTGGTGAGTATTAAGCAAATAGAGACTAAAAATATTAAGAATAGAGACTCTGTGATTCACAGGGATAAAAAAAATGAATGTTGATACTTAACGAGATAATTATCCAATATAGTTTTACAATGCATTTTTTAAGTTAACAAGCATTCAGTAAAGCAAGTATTCACACTACAGAATACATTTCACCAGAATGTTCAAAACGTTCTTGTTTTTTTATGTCAGATAGCATTTCTGAAAAGAAAACAATAAAAGAAAATGACAAGCTGATACCACCAGTTTGAACTGTTATCTGTTGGATGGCGTCAAAATTAATTTGACACTGATTCCGAATTGGTCGCCATTTTCTTCCAAATGAAAATTTGATTGTTACCTCGAAGAACCCCGTCAAAGCTATTTTGCTTTTATTTACTCGCCGTTATTGAGATCTGAAATCATTATGACGCATTGAAAACCAAGAAACTACCAAAACAATAAGTTTTTTCTGTTGATCAAAGAAAATTACCAGAAAATTTATGGTGACAATTTTGCGGGATGAATCATCCTCGCAGAGAAAGAAAAATAATCACTGAACTATGAATTACCTCCTTTTCTATTCCTAACTAGGATAATTTTTGAATCACCACCATTTTTCATAGCTTTACACGAAATGTAAATGATTTCTTATCTAGTATTCCTTTTTATTCTGAAATAAATCAAGGGCAAGCGTAATTTATAGATAAATTACAACCGTAATCAATATTTATCAAAAATGTCTCGAAAGTCTTACGCATTTTAAACACAGCTAACATAATTTTTTTAAATCGTAGCAGAAAAAAAACGATCTCGTCCAGACCTTTATAGCATTAATTCTATCCATTATTCACAACGCTAAATGGCGTGCGTGGTTTTCAGGAGGAAAGAAACATTTATTTAAAGAAAGAACAGTTTTTTTTATCATGAAAGTGCTTTGAAAAATAGGTTTATTAAATTATCTCTCTGCAAGCTGCTAATGACCAGAGAAAAAATGCATTTGTGTTTTTTTAATCAATGCAGATAGATCAAAAATAGGTACGATATTAAAATTTATTTTAAAGCTTTGGGAACTGACTGAAATCAAAATCATATGAAAATTTATTCTTTTTTACATCGATTGATAACGTGTTCTGGAGATTAAGAAGAAACGGGTAAGTATGATCATAGTAACATGTTCACTTTATGTACTGCTACACTATTACGGAAAAAAAATATTTAGAAAGAAACATCAAAATAGTTATATATAATATCTTAATTGTATGGCTTTATTTTTTCAAATAAATATCTTTTTTATTCGACTCTAGTCTTATTCTCAGGTGACTTTTCATCTTTAGGTAAGTTCGAGCTTCATGAACTTATCCAAGGTATCTTTTCTAAGCACGGATGACGTACCCCGGAATACTATAATGATAATTATCTATTTTCCTCTTGTCAACTAATTTTATCTATTCATCATTTTTTCTTTCGTCTTCGTCACAAATATACATTATTTGTCCCAACATAGACAGATTTAGCAATTGCACCATAAACCTCAAATTTCACTCACTCTAGAACGTAATAGGTGACCGATCACAAGCTCCTGACCGGCCGCTTATTTCCTATTCCACTAAATATCTTTTTCGCAGAACTACAGAAGAATAACCATTTTAAGTGCAATTGAGTCTATACTATATTTTAGTTCTTCTCCCTCCATTTGTTTTAATTATTTTACAATTTTATTTTTACCTAACTTTCTCTTCCATGTTTTAGTTGTAAATACGTCCTTTGGTGTATCAATTCTTTCTTTTGTTACTCTGTATATAAATATGTAGATATGATCTGTAAATATTTTTACGTTGCCCAAATATTTATAGCTGTAAAATTTGTTTTTCATTTTCATTAAAGTCTTAAGTGGTAATATAGTCGATAAACTGTTATGACATCTTTGAAGCATTGCTGTATGAGCACAATTTCCTATTAGTGAAGCAATCAAAGTCCTCTCCGGATGCGGAGGTCGTCTTCGTCACTTGACTGCTATCCACTTAAGTCGGATATCCTTTGCGTTCATGTTGTTGACAATTGAAAATTGCCATATTTTTTTTATTTTCAAATCAGCACATTACTTATTACTACTAACAACTTCCGATTATGAAATGCTTAAAATTTTTTGGATCAACGACACATCAGTAGGCTACGTGACCGAAATCTCTTTTAATGACAAGGAGCAATTTTTTTTAAATAATCATTAACATGCAATAAGAAAGATTCTAATATCAGTTTTCTAACTATCCTTTAGCTATTTACGCGATTCAATAATCGCTGCAATAATTGTAGGTTGCAGCTTTTATATTCAGAATTAATTATTGTTAAAATTGGTCGAAATAATACAAATGTTAACTTTAGAGTTTAAAGCCCGCCTGTAGGGGGCATTTTCGTAAAGAAGTATAAGATGTCACTTACACAACCTCCTTAGATCAGAACCAGACTTCAAGCGGAGCAGACTAGGCCAGAGAGAAGGGATCGCACAGTAATGTGATAAAGGTAGTACTTAAAATTATTGTAGCAGTTTTATAAGCAGTTCTCTTATTTTTGTCTTAGAATTTGAGTCAACAGCTAAGAAATTTGGGGAGGTGACTAAATATGCTAAGAGTAAATCGCATGGATCACCAAGGTAATGTAACAGGATTTAAAGGAATAAAAAAAAATTGAAGGTGTGTTAACGTGACAGGATTGAAAAGAATGAAAGGAAATTTTGTTGTTAGTTAAGAATTTATTATGGAGTAAAGTAAAGAAACTGCAAGCCTGCAAAAAATCGGAAGTGGTAGAAGTTTGTAACTAAATGTGAAAAAGTAGATGGTTATAAGCATTAAAAATTTAAAGTTAAAAGAATATAAAAAAGTTAAAATTCAATAATTCAAATGAGTGTAATGTCATTATAATTATAACATAATCATTTTTATTTGTACTGTTTACATCCTTGAACATGTTTCGACCGCTTAACTTCTCATGCTTAATATATATCATGTACGCATTACTCAATCAACATTTTAAGACTTTTATTCAAGATTCCCTGAAAGAAACTCCTCAGGTCTTACCATCTTTAGGTAGGTACTTGCATCATGACTCCGATGAATCCTAGCTATATTTTTCTTTCCCATAGAGTTTACTGTCTTTGTTAAACATGGGTGACGCCCCTCGGGAAACCCAAGAGATCCTTTCCTATTTTCTTAATGCTCCTTCTTCTCAACCAATTTTATCTTTTATACCATTTTTCCAAGCGTCTAGACGGCAATTACACCTTGTTTGGCGCAATTACGCCCCATATCTGGCATTCGCACTATTAAACTCCATCAATCACACATACGGAAGAAGATTCCTAAGGATATTTTTCTTTACCATCTGGCTTATTGTCTTTGGTAAACACGGGAGGCATGCACCAGAATATCTAGCAGTCCTTCTCAATTTTCGAGCTCTGCCTTTTCTTGTCAACCATTATTAAGCTGATTTATATTCTTTTTCTATCCAGATTACAGTTCGTGGTCGCGGTAAACTAGTGGTCATGGTGACGGACTCGCGGCCAGTGCTTTCCGTTGAGTCGAGGTTCGAGCCTTGATGCGGCTGAGGACCCACCGTGTGGCGAGGTTAAATCTGTCGGGGTTCAAAGTCCTCCCTTTGACGTGGTGTGGAAATTCAGGAGAGGAGGTGCCAGCTCAGATATCGTCCTAGTCATTTGACTGAGGTTCAAAATTATGAAGTCATACGCCCATAGTCCTCGTGTTGCTTGTCGTGTGACATTAATAAAATCAATCAATTTATCAAGATTTTATAGTTCAAGCATATGTTTGGTGAAGATTAACCAAATTTGACTTGCACTCGATAAATCCTGTCACTTACTCCCTGAAAAAAAAGTTAATTATTTCTTATAATACGCTGTAAAATCTCCATCTCCATAACTTCTCTCAAAAGTAGATCTCTTTTACTTCTATGTGTCGATTTGTTGACTTTGACGTTAATGACAAATTATGGCGATTCTCTTCTCTGAAAATGTTCCTCCTCAAGTACTTGGCCTTCTTTAGGCACGGAAAAGCACTACGACTCCGTGAGAGCCCATTGATCTATTTCTTTCTCATGGACTTAACAGTCTTTGTTAAGCATGGGTGACGCACCTCCAGGATACCCAAGAAATCTTTTCTATTTTCAACCCTCCTTCTTATGAACTCTTTTTTAACTATTTATAGCATTTTTTTTCAAACTTTTAGATCAGAGTTTCACGTTTGGTACAACATAGCTCACTTGGCTCTTGCACCATTAATCTCTACCATTACTCTTTCACTCTTCTAAATGCTCCAGTTTTGTGTTTTGACATCATAAAATTTATAAATAGCTGAGCTCTCTATGTATATTGACATCCAGCACTACATAAGTATTCCAATTTTTCAAGAGTTCTAGAATCTTATCACACCAAAGTCGTGACAAAATAGTTAAGAGAAATTTACAGATGAGAGACACTTCGAGAGTTTTCTTTCGTAAAAGCTCATCAGTCCCCGAAATGATTCCAAACGAGATCACTGTATCCAATACCTCCGGTCACTAAATTCATCTGTAAATAACTATACCTATAAAAACACCTGAATCTGTTTTTATACGAACTTCTTAAACGCGAATTAGAAAAAAAAAATTAATTCTCTTACCACATGACTTATTTCCATGTAACACGATTGATCCAAATTTAAGAAACTGTTTTTGCTTTAGTTCTATTTTTATAACTGCGACAATGGAGATGAGAAATGTAATACGATTTTCATTTGTAAGAATTCCCCGAATTTTGTATCCCCGAATTTTCGGAGTTTTGCCTGCGTTGTCTGTATTTTGAGTTTGGTCTTCAAAGTGAAAACATTTACGGCATTTGTTTCTATTTGACTGAAATATGTTTCAGACACATCAAAACAAGTCTCAGAAAAAATATTTAAACAAATGGTTTCTCCTCAACACGAAGAATGATGAGAACGCGCGCGAGAGAGTGAGTGAGCCAACGATTAAATCTACATTTTTTTTTATCTCATCTACGTTTTGATCACATGCCCAAAGAGGAGGAGGGCGGGGTGTCATATATATTTATGAATTTTGCATAAAAATCAATAAATTGTAAGTCATAGTTTAAAAACCTTTTTTTTTTTATTAATTATAAATGAAATACTTTTGGTAGCCCTTTCATAATGTCACATAAATCACTCATAACAAAAGCGAAAAAGTATTGTGTTATTTTTGCTGATATCTCAAGACTAGAACCAATCTTCTATTTTTCCATAGATGCAATGTACTCTCTTACATGATTTTTTTAAATGCATTTTTCGGGAACGTATATATCGTGTAAAAACAGAATTAGGTATAATTAAGCACTTAGTAACTTAAACTAAACTCACAATATCTTTTCTTGTCGTTTATCTCATCATCTTCAATACTCCATCATATGTACAACAAAATGAGAGATAATTTTTCATAATACCACCTTGATCATGATCGCGAATTCGTGCCCGGCGACTTTTCAGTTAAGCCACATGTTTCAGTCTTGCTATTAATAATGATTCATCGTGTAGAGTGGATACTGCATACTATATCTATCGGGGTTCGAAGTCGTTTAGTTAGCGGGATATTGAGAGTGGGACGTCAGCTCACCACTTGACTGGGACTCAAACTGAATCACTCGCGGATCACTTTTCTATATACATATCCAAATAAGTTTCACATATTGATTAATCGCCAAGCTTAGTATTTCAAATTGTATGTTCTTATTGAAAATATGAAAAATTCAGAAGTTTCTTTTATCGAGAGAACAGAAACTGTGAAAAAAAAATGTTATCGTGCAATGATATGTAATCGTAATTCAATAACACTTTGCTAGAGCCTTTGTATTTAATCGTGAAGAATTTTTTTTACTTTCATCACTTCGAAAAGTAAGGGCACTAAAATCGTTTGGAAAAAACGTAAAACGTATGAAAAGATTCATTCGATAATTAAGTTAGCTTTCTTTTGGATTAATTGCGTATTAAGTAAGGGAGAGAAAGTATACGTTGAGAGAGAGAGTTGTTAAACTTCAATTAATGAAACATTTCTGTTGAATGTCTCGAAAAAAATATAAATAAAAGTAATTTTATTTCTTTCTGTACTAATTACATCATTGATTAAAATAACAGTGCAAATGAAATTAATTATTAATTTGTTTCACTTAAGGAATTTCCGAATTTTTTGAATATCAATTCAAATTCTATCTCTGAAACAAATCGCTGCAGTGTTTTTACAAGATTTTGCTTACCTTATTCCTCTCCCCACCCCTGAACAAATACTTAAAAACTTTCAAAAGAAACTACTTATTCTAACTTAGTTTTAAAAGATAGTGTTGATGGAAAAAAGGCTAAATATTCATTTTCTTTTCGTTCAAGTTTTCAAAGTTCAAGTTTTCGTTCAAAGTTTTCTAAGAATCTTTTCTTTCTGTGTGTGGTCCCATCGTCTCAAAAAATTTGAAGTACTTTTTCTAACTTATTTTTTATATTGTGAAAATATTTGATAATCTACTTCTATGAAGTGGTCTTCTTAAAAAAGATTCAGCGGTCTTGATGGAATGTATAACAAAAGTAAAACAAGCAAAAAATTGTTCAAATTAAATACATATATAAAAGCATGAAGCTTGCGTAAAGTCTTAAATTTTTCTCCTTTAGAACTGAAAAAAAAAATTTGAAAATAAAAAAAATGGCTATTTATACGAGGGCTATCCAGAAAGTATATTACGTTTTGGAATAAAAAATAAACAAATTATAGAAAACAAATTTTATTATATACAGATGAAAGCCACACTCACTACTTTTCTACATAGTCACCATTCAAATTAAGGCATTTATCGTAGCGATGTACGAGCTTGGAAATTCCTTCGTCGAAAAATTCGGCCGCCTGCGCCTTCAACCACTTCGTTACCTCTTCTTGCAGCTGTGCGTCGTCATCAAAACGCTGCATAGCCAGCCACTTCTTCATTGCTGGGAATAGGTGGAAGTCGCTCGGTTCCAGGTCAGGACTGTACGGCGGATGGGGAAACAACTCCCACTTAAAAGATTCAAGAACTTTACGAGTGACATTTGCCGTGTGGGGCCGGGCGTTGTCGTGAATCAACAAGATCTTAGAGCTCAACATTCCTCTGCGCTTGTTTTGAATTGCTCTTCTGAGTTTTTGGAGAGTTTGGCAATACCTTTGAGAGTTTATTGTAGTGCCTCTTTCCAGGAAGTCCACCAAAATCACACCTTTTCTGTCCCAAAAAACAGTCGCCATCATCTTCCTTGCCGACATTGTTTGCATGCATTTCTTGGGTTTTTGGGGAGAACTTGTGTGCCCCCACTGCATTGATTGCAATTTCGTTTCACAGTTCACGTGTTTCACCCATGTTTCGTCACCAGTAACGATGCGATCGAGTAAAGAGTCACCATCCTTATGGTAAGCGTCCAAAAAGTTCAACGCTGCAGCCATTCGCTGATTTTTGTGGTCCTCTGTCAAGATTTTTGGAATCCATCTTGCACAAAACTTGTGGTAACCAAGCTTTTCGCTGATGATTTCGTGCAACAAACTTCGCGAAATTTGTGGAAAACTCAAAGAAAGTTCCGTTATTGTGAAATTTCGATTTTCACGGACTTTAGCATCGACTTTTTCGACAAGTTCGGCAGTCACTATGCTGGGTCTCCCACTTCGATCTTCGTCGTGAACATTGGTTCGGCCATTTTTAAATCTTATGACCCACTGACGCACTCCACCTTCAGTGATAATGTTGTCCCCATACACTTCACAAAGCTGCCGATAGATTTCTATCGGTTTACAGTTTTTTGCAGTCAGAAACCTTATTACTGCACGCACCTCGCAGCTCGCGGGATTTTCAATTAACGCAGACATTTTAAACCGTCACAGTATCTGAACAGAGCACAGCACGAACCTCTCACTAGCACGGCTAGATGCCCACTGAGCTGCGCAACGCTCTGACCCCAAGATGGCCGCGCTAGCCCCGCCCCTAGCGGACACAGACGAAAACGTAATCTACTTTCTGGATGGCCCTCGTAATATTTTTTCTTGGTGATAGGATTAAAAATTTAAATTAGATTATTTTTCTTTAAGTTATCCCTTTTCTTCTTGAATTTGCTTAAAAGAAATTTCTACTTCGCAGTTTTTGAAAGTTCTCAAACAATGGAGGATTATTCCAGAATAAAAAAGATCAGGAAACCAGACAACTCATTTTTTTTATTTTAAGAGCCAGCTCAGGTTCTGTCCTCGTTACTCAACTGAGGTTCAAAAATGAGAGGTCAGTAACCCTCATTTTGCTTCTAAGTATGATCTTAACAATTCAGAAGGAACTATTCCTCGTCTCCGACGATCTTAAAGAAACGCGCGGACAATGGTTTCAAATAGGCTATGAAATCAAATAATAAGAACGCAATAAATTTCGAAGCCACTTCGTGCAATACTTTTGTATTTCATTTAAGAGTTACTGTGAAATATTTTCTACTTCATTATTTAATGACTGTAATTTAAACATAGGACATTATTTGAAGTGATCTTAAAGTTGACAAAACTGCTAGATAGGATACAA